GGTATAAAATAGAAAGTATAATCAACAAAATAAAATGGATAGACGTAAAAACCAAAGGAACAAAGTAAGCACGAAGAATTGACCAAAAATCCAAGTGTTATTATGGCAAGGAAAGAAGACAAAATTAATTAATTAATCAATTAATTAATGAAGTTTAAAGGGCAATTAGTGATTGTAGGGAATTGTTGATTTGGTGGTCGGGGTTGCTTCTACTTTTCTTTTGTCCTACTTTTAACTGAAAATATAGCATATGAATTATTGATTTGGTAATAAGGATTTTGATAGATTTGTTTAGAGTAACAATAATGTTTAAATTTAACTATTAATTATCTTAAAGCACTTGTGTAGTGGGTTAGTTTTTCTTGTTAAAACATGGCTTTTTATAATTTTTTGTTTAGTGATAGCTTTTTAAAACAATTCTAATAAGGGTGTATCTGGACAAAATGCCAAATTATGAATGATTAATCAGAACTTTTGTTTAGCTATATAGTCATTGATGACCTATATTTTTTCTGTTTCATGAAGGGGAATCAGTTCCCTTATAATATACTTCCTCTCTAACCTTCAACTTTTGTATTTCTATTAATTTTGATTTTTTTTATGTGTCTTGTTTTATTGGCGTCATTAATGATAATTTTCAATGTACAACTAGTATAAGTGACAGATATTATAGTTTGTAGCATATTTAGGATATATTTTGTATGAGAGTGAAGGATAGCTCAACTAGTTAGAGTTTTCAACCCGATCTTAGGATCAATTCTCACCCTTGCCCTTGTGGCTCTTTAAATTCCAAAAAAAAAAAATTGTATGTATTTTGTATCCTTATCATTACATATATATTGATTAACATGGTACACACTCCAATTTGAGGAGTTTTCCTAAAATCTAAAAATAAGGTATTGGGGTTAAATTTTAATTCATACGGATTATGTTCAATTTCAAGTTGATTTGGATTTTCTATTGTCAAATAACTAATTCATATTAGTCTACTTGCTTCAAATTGAATTGAGTTAATATAAATTGGATCAAATAGGTTGTTTACACATGTTTATTTAAAACTTTATGAATGCATATTCTTTTAATATCATTATTTAACACAAGTATATGTAATACTACATGTTTTTTTGGTGTGAAGTTGTATAATGTAAAGAGCAAATAATGTAAGGTAAATTTAATCATTAATCTGAGTACCATCTTTCAATAAGATAGTTGATATCTACTAAAAATAAGTATTATTGTACTAGGTGGTTAGATGAAAAAATGGCATGTTGTGACTGAATCTTTAAAATATAGTTTGATGCAAAGTTAATAATTGTACAAGGGAAAACACTCCAATAACACTCCAATAACAAAAAATAACATCAAATTGAACATAATTGAATGATAAAGCCGAACTGCATTCAGGCCCAATAAATATATAAGGCAAAACACTCCGATAACACTCGTCCTAGCTGCTAAGTAGTCTGGCCCAACTTCACAATGGGCTTAGCTGATGAATATAAATTTTACAAACATTTTTAAAGACCATGGCCAAATGCATAATGTTCTCATTGACTGAATTGAGTTAAAATGAACTGAACTGAACTTAATAGAGCTGAACTGAACTGAACTGAACTGAATTGAATTGAATTAAATTAAACTGAAAATAATTTGATGAGAGCAGGGCGTTATTCTAGTTATTTAAAATCTATTCACTTTTATTTATTTATTTATTTATTGAGGTTGTTTACTATTCAATTTTTAGCACTTGTATGATAATTAACGATCTATTTCTTATAGATGGGGTTAAAGCCTAAAAGGTACCCAAAATCAAGTAAAAGTGACTCAATAATTTATGCTGTTAAGCCTTAATCATCATATTTATAGAAGGTTCGAAGGCAAATATGAAAAAGCCTATTTTATCTCCTTGATAAACAAAGGATAAACGAATTTTGTTTATCAAATAACAAAACTGTAAATAAATCAACAATTTGGCCTAGTCATCATTGCATATTTATAAACAAATCAACTATTGTGGGGTCCATTTTCTAGTCATCATGGTATATTGGTATGATTATTTTGAGTCACCATTTTTAGTGAAAAGTTGTTGATTTATTTACAATATTATCATTTAATATAAACATTTTTTATAAACATATTCTATTTTGAGATTAGCGATTGAACTTATTCCGTATTTTATAGCTCTTTTATTTTGTCTATAATATTAATCTTTAAAAAAAAAAGGTTGAAAAAAAATATCTACAATTTATTTATTTCATTTTTTGGTGCGAAGGAGGGGCAAAAAAACCCCGGCCGGTAGAAAAAAAAAAATCTACAATTTATAATACTCCGTATTAATCTTTCAAACAAACTAGGTATCTATAAACAAACTAGATTAAAAGCTAATACAATGATATAATTGTTGCCGTGGACTAACCAGTCCACTTTTTAATTTGTACGTTCTCAAAGAGTAGTTCAAGGAGTGGGCGCATGTAGCTCATGGCTAGCTGCAAGCAGGCTATGGGGAAATTTGATTTATGTAATGCATGTACTAATTGTTGATTTGATAACCTCCACCATATTATATGGATGATTATTTATGGTTAAACTCAACATTCTCTAGTTGTTATTCTGAGGTTACATCCAAATCATTGAGAGAGAGTGAGGGATAGATCAAGTGGTTAGAGCTTCCCTCTCGATTCTAGGAGGTCCCGAGATCGATTCTCACCCCGCCCTTGTGGCTCTCTAAACACCAAAAAAAACATTCAAATCATTGAAAGGTTACAACGTGTGACCTCTTAATTTGAAATTTACGTATCTAAAAACTTAGCCCTTCAATTATTATATAACTGTATATGTAACTGTAACTGTTAGCTGTTACATATAAAAATCAATATTTTTTCTTTAAAACTATACATTAAATTTTCAACAACTACCTCTAACTTCAAAAGCTAATATTTTTTAACTTTTTATAATAGCTATTTTAACCACTAAAAGTTACCCCAACCACTACATTACCAACACTTCTATTTTTTTGTTAAGTATTGTCGAATACACCCTAACGTGTTATTGATAGAATTACACACTAGTACATGATCTGTTAAATCTCATTCAACTCTCGATTCACTTTTAGCTTCATATGACTCGTAAAACTTGTTTAAGTGGCGCCATTCTAGTTACTCGTAATAGATTAGAAGTAATAATATTGAAAGTACCACAATTTGACCCTACTTAGTGGAAAAAGCCTATCTTCGATGTGGGATATATCATATCCTACAACTTTGATGTGAACAACGTAACAAACCAAGTGTATACAGTGCAACACAAATTAAAACAATCAATCGTTGGCAGTGCAAAAAGATTAAATCAAAAACATGAACAAAGCCTTAAAAGCAGGAGATATATAGTAAGATAGGATGTTGCCTTAATCATTATCAATAATTAAGCCACCAAATTACCCTACTTTGACCCCCTTATTATTCTATATTAATGCTTCATTGAGCTGGAAATTTTTTAAAAATATATATATTAAAAAAAAAAAAAAAAAAAAAAAGTTTCAATTGATGAAAAGTGTGAACATGAAGCAACAATCGCACTTACTTTGCATATGACAAAAGTAGAAGTTAGGGCCTCATCTATTAGCCTGTCTTTTATTTTTCTTTCTTTAAAAAGTTAACATTTGATCATATGAAACCTTTGATGTATTTACTACTCAGTACTTGTAAAACAATGAGAGCTTGCCAGACTTTGCCATCATAAGTGGCATGAAGATGAATAAATGATTTTATACCATTTTGCAAAAAACATGTGAATCAAAATGTGAAATGGATGGTCTATGTTTGTTCATATACCACTTTATTTTGCTATCGTAAACATGAAGTTTTGGTTTTAGAAACCGGTATGTTATCATCACAACGGAAAGTTTGTACAAAATCGGCTTTAGTGGGAGCAATCGGCCTGATTCATTGTTTTGAATGATTGATAATAAATTGTTACGAAAGTAATACTAAATGCTACTGAGTTTTCAAGGGGTAGTTATATCTACTCGTATAATTTTAAGTATTTTGAGTGAGAATCTTCAAATGTTAACTAACAAAATAAAATACGTTACAGAAAAATTATTTTGATCTTATAATTTACTATAACTAATAGGGAAAATTTGCAAATTGCAGCCATTTAAAGTTCGTATTTTGCAAATTGCAGCCATTTAAAATATTTTTTGCAAATTGCAGCCCAAAAGTTCGTATAAATTGTAAATTACAGCCCGATTCAATTTTTTCTTCGGTTTACAAGTTGAAAAATCTTCGCTTAAGGTTTTAGGGTTCATTTTTTCTCTTAGGGACCCGAATTGAGCTTAGAATTAGCAAAAAAATAACGTAAGTATCTCGTATTGCATAACAAAAATGTATCGATTTGTGGGAAACTGTAAATATGAGACACTTACGTTATTTTTTTGCTAATTCCGAGCTCAATTGGGGCCCCTAAGAACTAAAATGACCCCTAAAACCTTAACCGAAGATTTTTCAACATGTAAACCGATAAAAAAATTAAATCGGACTGCAATTTACAATTTGTACGAACTTTTGGGCTGCAATTTGCAAAAAAAAAATTTAAATGGCTGCAATTTGCAAAATAAGAACTTTAAATGGCTGCAATTTGCAAATTTTTCTTATAAGGGACACAAGATAGGAAATATAAGCAAAAATGCATAATTATAGTGGATATACCATCATATATTGCTCTATTCCAATTGGTACTTTGAGATATTGTCCAACTTACAAAGAAATCAGCAACTGTACAAGATCTTATAATACAATACAAATCCCACAAAAAAAAAAGGAAAAGAAAAAAAAAAAGGAAGAAGAAGAAGAAACTCACTATGAAACCACAAAAAAAAAAAAAAAAAAAAAAAAAAAAATCCAAAACTTTGGTAATTGAGATTTTGCAACCCTCAAGTAAAAATTAAATAAAATCTCACAAATTTTCTTATTTTTATTAGTAGTAAAAATTATTTTACTCAAAAAAAAAAAAAAAAAAAAAAAAAAAAAAAAAAAACAGAGGACTGAAGATCACCTTCTCCAACTTCTACTCCTGGAAAAAGGATCTTTGAATCCACCAACAACCCAAGTTTCCTGAGAAATTTCAGTTGACAAATTATAAAATTCTGCATCATATTTCATCAAAATTGCCAAACTTTCTCTTTTCTTTTTCTTATTCAAATTTTCCTCTTCCTCTGTTTTTTCTTCCTCTTCTTTAGCTTCAATTTCTTTCTCCTCTAGCCAACTCTTAGCAGGAGCAGACCTACACCTCATAAGTAACAAAGCATTTGGCGGTGGCACGGCCGGAACACATTCATCATCACTCTCTATATTCTTCTCTTGTAGCACTGATTTCTTACTATTTTTAGTAACATCTTTACCCTCATTTTCCTCTTGTAATACCATAAACCATTTAGAAAACACTGCCTTATTACTATTATTAGTAACAATGTTGTTTTCCTTATCATCTTCACCAATATCGAATTCTTCGTCTTTGAATGCTTGATCTTCTTCCTCATCATCTGAACTAATAACATCAGATTGAGGAAATGCTCCAAAACACCGGAAATCAAACCTTATATTCCTTAAACAAGTAAGAAAACTCATAACATCTTTCTTAAACCCAAACCCTTCAACCCATTTTGATTTCTTCTTGGTTTTCCCACGATTATGAATCCTCTCAATTTCCTCCATTACAGATTGCCAATTTTTACAACCACTTGAAGAACTAGGCCTTACTTTAATCTGCCCTGCACAGGTGACTTTCGGGGAAGTCGGCTCGGCTATCTCCGGCCTCAATTGGTTGTTTTTAGCCCATACAAGAGGGCTGTTTGGCCCTCCGGAGGCGGCACTTGAGGTTCGAGTGTTGATCCTCTTGAGGTGGTGGTTGTGGTGGTGTCGTTTCGAGGGTTCGGAACCTCTAGCAGGGCTGCAAATGGGTTTAGGCATGAGTGTAAGATGGGTTCTTGAAGGAAAACATACTAAGAAATCTGCTGATTGTGTTGCTCCTCCTAATAGTTTGTTTTCTCTTCCTTTGATCATTTTGGCAAAACTAGATTTTTTTTTTTTTTTTTCTCTCAAAATTCTTGTTGAAGTTGATGTTTTATAAGTAGAGTGAGTATAATTTTGTTGCTTTTTCCTATAATATTAATTCTATTTAGTATGTCATGCTATGTTGAACTTGAGTATGTGTGTTTTGAAGGTGCCAAGGTGGTGTTTTTAAAAGGAGGGGTGGAGGGAACGGTTTGACAGCTACGAAAGAGTGATTTATTGACTTTGGATATGTACCTTAAATAACCTAACTTTTTAACTTTAGAATAGCGTTTTTTTCACCGTATACCCCTAAACTTTTTTAAATTCGTTATACTATATTCCTGAGTTTTCACAAAAATACATCAGATTGTATATCATTGATGACTACTGATTGTTAACTTTGTTCGTCAATTAATATGACCGAAACCACCCTAAATACATTCCCCCACTCCCGAAACCGCTCACATTCTTTTTCTCCGCCCCAAAACCACCATGAGTTTCTATTTCTCATTCTCAAAATCAATCATATGGATATAATTATGGATATTTGGAATGTTTTCGAGGGTTGGAAGAGGAGAAGAGTGGTTTCGAGAATGGGGAGAGAGATCTAAGATGTTTTCGGTGAATAATTAACCAAATTTACTCATCTTGTTGTCATTAAGGTTATATGGTGAGTTTTCATAACGACTTAGGGGTATATGGTAAATTTGAAAATTTTCAGGGGTATATGGTGAATAAACAAAAAAAACTCAAGGGTATATATATGGTGATCGAAAAACCGTTTAAAAGAAGTTTAATCATGTATCCGTGTATCCGTTTTCTATACATACACACATGTGTATCCGTTTTCTATTTAGTTTCGATTTAGTTTTCACTTTTATGCACCATGATAGAATTATTCAATTAGATTTAGGTAAAACCGTCACAGTTCGAGTGTTTGATCTGACACTGGATCGTGCGGTGCAATATTGTCTTTTGGCGACAGGGACGCAAACCTAGAGCGAAAAGGGTTCGTGAGCACACATCAACACGAGTCAAAGATATCTCAAGGAAGCACATGTCAACAACGAGTGCGGAGTCGGAGCTTGTGACGACCGATATTTCGAAGCGGGCACAAGCGAAACCGACGACAATAAAAGCGCTTTTTGAGGTTCTCTTGATTTGGAGGAGATGTTTTAAAACAAGGCAAAAGTAATATTTATAAAGGTTTAAATTAATACACAAAACTTAAAGCAATATGCAACGAGTAAATAGCGAGCATTAGTATTTTTTATTTATAACTATTTAGTGTTTAGTCCATACATGCTAACTTAAGTGATTGATAGGATATTTGCATCTCGAAAGATAACTAAACTTGTCGAATGAGCTAAGATGGCATGTGATTTTAATATATGTGGGGTTTTAACAAGAAAAACAACTTTTGCACTGTCTAGAAAGGATGGAATTGGGGATATATAGATTATACAAATAGTCTTTCTTGGCCTTTACTTAAGTTTTGAATAAATTAAATAAGTAGAGGTATAATAAATAATTAATATAGTAATTCCTACAAAAATGCTTTATAAAAAAAATGTAAAGGATGTTAAAGAGGAACGGAAGCTTAGTGCCCACGAGCATTGTTCATCTTCCAATCATACTTTATTTATCTCTCTTTTTTATTTAATCACTCCCTCTTTGTGGTGTCAATCCCCAAAGCTTTGTCAACAACCACATAAAGTCAACTTTCAATATTTTTAATGAAATATTCAAATATACATTAGGAAAATTAGAAAATAACACCACAAATTTTGCAATAATGGATTATAACACCACAAATTCTCAAATTTTTTTATAGCACAAAAAAAAAAAATCCAATTATTAGATTTCACCAATCCGTTACTGGGGCTTACTTTAGACGAGTGTCACTCAGTTATTTGTTATAAAAAAAATAATAAAAAATAAAACTTAAACCCTGTCCCAGCCCCACCACCACCACTACCACTGTCGGCAGCCCCCGCCGGCACTTTCTGCCACACCTTCACCGTCGAAACCGGCAAGCCCCACCATCACCCCTAAAACCAGCGAGCCACCACCATCGCCCCATCACTTAGCAATAGCCCCATCACCCCAACAACTGCCAAAGAAAACCACCCACTGTTGGAGAAAACCATGCCCAATTCCACCCGTAGCCTTGCCCAGATCCATATCTCACCCCTTGATGGCGTCGTGAAACCACGAACCTTAAACCATCGAAAAGGATTGTTGGTGGCCAGTGTGGTTTCGACAAATATGGGGAAGGAGGTGGTGGTGGCGACCTTTCCTTTTCATCGATGTAGGGAAGTGGTTTTGACGGTGAATCAGGGGTTGTGGTGGTTGGGGGTGATGGCGGGTTGTTGCGCTGATGAGGGAAGTGGTTTCGGCAGCAATGGGAGTCTCCGACAGAGGAGTCACGACCATCGATGGTGGGCTGGTGGCTAGGGATGTCAGTGGGGCGGGTCAAGTAGGAGACCCGCGCCATCCCCGCCCCAATGGGGCGGGGATGGGTTCGGTTTGGCGGGTGGTGGGGCGGGGATGGGGATAAAAACCATACCCGCCATGGGTGATGGGGCGGGGGTGGATTTTAAGTTGTACTCGCCCCATCCCCGCCCCACTTCGTACCTGCCTCATACCCACATTTATATATCTTTTAAAGCAAAATTACATAATTTTATTGTATTTATAAAATAATTACATGAAATACAATATTAATTATAATACTTTGTACGACACTTATATTATAACACAAAAATGTGTATAGAATGTTTTATTTTATAATTTGTATTAATTATGTAAGATTGTGTATTTGAGATACGGATATTAGGTGGATCTTGAGTGGGGATTAGATGGGTCTTTGGTGGGGATTAGGTGGGGATGGATATTCAAGTGGGGGGTGGGGCGGGGATGGTTTTGGAGTTGTACCCGGTGGGGCGGGGATGGGGATGAAAATTGGACCCGCCGCGGGGATGGGGATGGGGATGAAAATATTAGGTGGGGATGGGGTTGGGAAGACCAACATCCGCCCCGCCCCATTGACATCCCTACTGGTGGCTGGGTTAGGGTTTAGGGGTTTTTCTTTTCTTTTGTTTTTTATTTAAAATTTATATTTTTCCTTAAACCAATGTCTTATTGTCACATGTTCATCGTGGACCCCTTTAAAGGATTTCATTAAAAAAAACTGTTAGATGGTGGTGAAATTCTTTTTTTTTTTTTTTTGTGGTTTTATAATAAAAGTTTAAATTTTGTGCGGTTATAATCCAATTTTTGTGAAATTTATGGTATTATTTTCTTATTTTTCCTAAATATTTTAAGAAAATCAATGGAGTTATTACCTTCATTCGATCCTTAAAGATATCCTCAATATAATTTGAATCTTGATATTTTCTGATTCGTGTCGATATAATAAAGTAAATTATAGTATTAGATTCTAGTTTTAGTATGGATTGAGGATCGGAGTGACAGTAATTGCCTTTGGTTAGTTCAATACTTGCACTGTCGATGTAAATCAGGGAAAACCACTTTGTTGATGTTGTGCGACAGCGGAAGCAAAGGTCGTAAACAAACAAGAAAACAATAAAGAAATTCAATGCAAACAATAAGAACAACACCAAGAATTTACGTGGTTCACTATCGATGTGATAGCTACGTCCACGGGCACCGAGATCGAATGATTTCACTATAAACTGGCAAAGATTACAAAGATTACAATGAAGAACTTAATCACTCAAAGTATTCTCTCTCTTGTGTTTCTCTCTCCGTTACCCTAATAATGATAATAGGAAGTTTATATAGTAGTGATTCCTAATTAAGATATACTTAGGTTACAATATCACAATATGATAAATATTAAATTCGTAATCGCTGAAAAAACCCAGATCGCCCGGTCGGGCGAAGGCCCGCCCGATCGGGCGCGAGAACACGTCTTTTCCAACAACCGAAGTACTCCAAAAAACCCCTTCCGCCCGGTCAGACCGGGCAATGTCCGCCCGGTCGGGCGAAGGCTCGCCCGGTCGGGCGAAAGCTCGCCCGATCGGGCGCGCGAGAGCAGCTTCTTCAACGAATTTGCCAGGCACCTCTTCTTCTTCCGCCCGGTCAGACCGGGCAATGTCCGCCCGATCGGGCGGACAAAGCTACGAAGTACGAGTCACCTAATATACTTATCAACAATCTCCACCTTGACGAGAACTCGTAGTCAGCAAACGACCCCATCAAGACATAGTGAAAAAACATCTCAAGCCAAACCCGATGCAGGACTCATGCATAAGCCATACATCCCGATAAGTCTTCAACCAAGACCCATCACATACTCGTCTCCAAGTATAACAACTCATAATGCTCCACCTGCATCACAAGCCCCGGGCAAGCTCCACCTTAATGCCAACACACCTACACCAGGAGCTCCCCAACTTCGCCCCTCAGGGCCTACTACATCACGTAGTAATCAATATTTAGCAAGTCTAAGCAATGTTTAAACTTGCTAAACGGAACAGGCTTAGTGAAGAAATCAGCCGGGTTGTCAGCAGTCCCAATCTTCTTCACCTTAATCCTCTTGTCAGTACGTAAGAAATGATACCTGACATCAATGTGCTTCGTCCGATCATGGTGTACTTGATCTTTAGCTAAGCAAATCGCACTTAGACTATCACAATACACTGTAGCAAAATCCTGTGCAATACCCAGTTCACCTACTAGGCCTTTGAGCCAAATAGACTCCTTAGCTGCAGAAGTTAGAGCCATATACTCAGCTTCAGTAGTTGACAACGTAACTGATGACTGCAATGTAGACTTCCAACTAACCACAGAACCACCCAAAGTGAACACATAACCAGTCACAGACCTCCTGGTATCCACATCAGCTGCATAATCAGAATCACTGTACCCAGTGACCAAGCATTCCTTACCATTCCCGTACACAAGACCAATATCAGCTGTCCCTCTCAGGTAGCGAAAAATCCTTTTCACCCCTTGCCAGTGTTCCCTCCCAGGTCGAGCCATAAACCTGCTTACAACACTAACAGCATGCGCAATATCCGGCCTAGTACAGACCATAGCATACATCAAACAACCAACCGCGTTTGCATATGGAACTCTAGACATATAAGACAACTCCTCCTCTGATTGAGGTGACATAGACAAAGACAACTTACAACTAACAGTAGTTGGCGTACTTATAGGCTTCGATTTTTCCATCCCAAAACGAGACAGAATCTTTTCAATGTAGCTTTTCTGAGTCAAGAAAAGCTTACCTCTAGCCCGATCCCTGTAGATCTCCATACCCAAAATCTTCCTAGCTGCACCCAAGTCTTTCATGTCAAACTCCGAGTTAAGCATCTCCTTTAATCTAGCAATATCAGATTTATTCTTTGTGGCAACCAACATGTCATCAACATATAACAAAAGATAAATCATGGAACCATTATCC